TCAGGCAATCCACTCACCTCAGCCTCCCAAAGCACGGGATTACAGGCTGAGCCACCGAGCCCAGCTTATTACTCATATTTTTATTATTCTAGTCTACTGCAAAAACATAGTTTTAATTTAAAATAACATACCAAGTAGCCCCTCCAAACTGTCTGCTTACTGTTTCCTTTGATCAGGCCAGTGTGGGCATCTTCAACTGCAATTAGGAGCACAATAAACAAGTACATTTTTAATGATCCTTAACTATGGTGTCTAGCAGGACGCTGTGCAAAGAAAGCATTTTGAGAGCATGAAGCAGCCATTAATACGTGGTCTCAGAAAAGGGCAGTGGGGGAGACAAAACGAACCCATTCAATGAAAGAGAATCAATGTAAGTCAGTGCACAATTAAACATGAAATTCTGCAACGCTGAAAGAGAGACCCATTCAGGCAGTGAAAACGTGGACTGCTTCCTAGCAGCCAAATTTAAGCTGGATCTCAAAGAAGGGAATGACAGGATGACAGAAATCACACATACAGCAGCAAACAGACATGTGTGTGAAGGGGGAGAAAAAGAATTCTTTGACTAGAGAAATATCTGGGAGCGGTAGTATCGGAAAACAAGGGTGACCAGACAAAGGGGCCCTTGAATGTCAGGCATTTATGTCAACAGCAGGGACCACTGGGGGTCCCATGGTCCCTTCAGAGTCACAGTTTTCTCACGGTGTGTCGCTAACACTCATCAGGTGGTGCTGAACAAAGCACGTGAAGCTGGGGTGGAGCAGGGGGAGAGTCAGTGAAGAGACCAGGTAAGCTCGGCAGACGTGCTGCTGCCGCCACTCAGGAACCATGGAGAGCAGAAGAGAGGTCAGAAGGCTCCAATCCTCACCCTCAGGAAGGGAGAAAAGGTAGGTTCTGCAAAGCACAGCCGGGTAGGAGGAGCCATCAAGCCTGGGCAAGAGCCAAGTGAACTGTCACCATCTTGCTGGCGAACACCGGGAGAAGCCACTTGCATGATGCACACCATGCGAGCAGGCACAAGGAGAATGAGTGCACTAAGTATACACCGGTGAGGTGCTCCTCTCTCTCTCCACTGATGTGGTGGGTTCTACACTGGCAGATCAGAGAACTCCAACAGACCTACTCTAAGCTGTCTAATCTCAGCAGCGCAGCTAACAGCTTGCATGTTATCTTCACGCACACAACGAAGACGTGCAGGCAGGTCAGCCAGGCAAGATAGAACCAATTCTACCCAAGTGTGTGACTTATAAATCCACAATTGACCTGGAGGGAGGTTCAAGAGGTCTGCCATTAGCCCTGTCTTGTTGAACCCTCACTCAAGGTTTTGGAAGACACAGAGGCATCCTTGTGAAATGTGTGGATTCACATAAAGCTCACAGAGAAGCTACTATCCTGGTAACAGACGAGGGAGTCCCCAAATGTGTGTCTACCTGGAGCAATGAGTCAAATCTAACAAAACAATTCCCGACACAGAGGTAAAATCTTTAGCTTGGCACCACAACCAACTTCACAAGCACACACTAAAACAGGCACTGGAGCATTGGCATAGGTCAGTTTTTTGTTGTTCGTTTTTGAGTTGGAATCTCATTCGGTCACCCAGGTTGGAGTGCAGTTGCACGCTCATGGCCACCACAGCCTCGATCTGCTGGGCTCAGGTGATCCTTCCATCCCTTCCAGGTATTCCAAACAGCTGGAACTATTCAGGTGCATGCCACCACGCTCAGCTAATACATAATTTTTTTTATTGTAGAGACGAAGTCTCACCAAATCATCCAGACTGGCCTCGAACCCCTAGACTCAGGCAATCCTCTCACCTCAGCCTCCTAAAGTGCTGGGATTACAGGTTTGAGCTACCAAACCCAGCCTATACAGGTCAGTTTTTTAAGATGAGTTTTAGTCGACAGTGAGTTCAGTATGAGTCAACAATATGCTGTGGCCATACTGAAACCACATCATTTTTGTACTTAGAATAAGAAACCCCATTGGTGTGACTGTCAAAATGTCTCTAATCCAACCACTTCTCGCCTTCACTGCACCACCCTGGTCCTTCTTGCCTGAATTGTTATAACTTTTGCCCCTCCTCAGTCTATTCCCACCATAGCAGCCAGACGGCTCCTTCTGAAACTTCACTCAGATCACATTATTCCTCTCCTCAAAAGCCTCCAAAGACTCCGCATCCCACTGTGAGTTAAAGCCAAGTCCTCGTTACGGCTACCAGGGCCATGCATTCAGTGCCCCCACTACTTCTCTAGGCTCAAATGTTGTCCCCTCTGCCACCTTCTCTATGTCACATGACGCTGGTCTCCTTGCTCTCTTCAGACATGCCAGACACACTTCTGCCTCAGGGCCTCTGCACTGGCTGTTCTACGTACCCAGATCACTCTTTCCCCATATAAGAAGACTCACACCTTCTTTGCATTTTCACTCAAAAATCACCTTCTCAGGGAGGCCTGCTCCACTATCCAAATTAGAACTCAAGCCCCTGGTCCTCGACTGGAATTCCCTCTGCTGCTTCCTCTGCTCGGTTTCTCTCCATAGCACTACCCTCTACAAACTACAGAACTGACCTATTTGTGGTGTCTACTGCCCCCATCAAGATGTAAACTCAGTGAGGACAGACAGTTTGGTCCATCTTTCACTGCTATGTCTTCAGTACTGAGAACAGGACCTGGCACACAGTAGGCACTTAAGAAACCCTTGTTGATGAACAGTTCTGCTCTCCCTGCAGAGTGAACCACACTGAAATAGTTCACTTCCCATGGAAGCATTTCAAAAGTAATCTGAGAAGACCAAACTAGGATGCTGACCAGCCCCTAAGAGCCAGCTAAGGAACAATAATGAAAAGAAATGATACGTGGGAGAGGGTGGCACTCGTTCTGTGTGACCACAGGGGGTACAACTTTACCTGTGTAGGAAAGTTATAAGGAAGCAGTCTGTGGTTCTTTTTAAAGTCACTTTAGTCCAGAGATAAAATGAATTGCCACAGGAGGAAATTTATTTCCTATAAAGTATGGGTCCCTAAGCCTGGGGCCACGGAAAATACACATCCATGACCTGTTAGGAATTGGGTCGCACAGCAGGAGGTCAGCCAGCGCTGCTCCTCATCTCTCACCTTACCACCTGAGCTCCGCCTCCTGTCAGATCAGCACTGAAAAGCCAGCTTCCATTTCCAGCATGCTATCTTTGTGAAGCGGGGTTTTATGCTGTGACAGCAACCAAAATGAGAATACAGAGTAGACTGGACATGAGCAACACACTTTGGGTATCACTGCCTCCCATCACCCCAGATGGGACCGTCTAGTTGCAGGAAAACAAGCCCAAGGCTCCCACGATTCTGCATTATGGTGAGTTATATAATTATTTCATTATATGACAATATAATCATAATAGAAATAAAGTGTACAATAAATGCAATGTGCTTGAATCATCCTGAAACCATCCTGCCCCCAACAGAAAAACTATGTTCCATGAAACCAGTCACTGATGCCAAAAAAGTTGGGACCGCTGCTATAAACCAAAGGATATAAGCTTGACTGGCAAAACCACTTTGCAGAACAGACACAGGTCCAGGCTGCAGAGCTGGATTGTGTGACAGCTGGCGTATAAAATACACCGGGATCTACAGAGTGGAGGAGGAGATATTCATGCTTGGAAAGGCTGAAATTACTTTTCTTTCTTTTTTTTTTTCAGGTTTCAACTTTTTAATCAGCTCCGTGAAGGACATCCTAAACACTATATGAGACACAACAGAATATTTTTTTCCAGTGTTTTAAAAAAATGACATTCACATACATTATTAAGAAGCTCTTCTATATAACCAGGTTGGTGATCTTGAGTAAAAAAACGTCCCTAGGTAATCATGTTCTTGATGCAGATTTCTTATAGATACATTTTGAAATTGCTTCATAACCATAATAAACATTATATACAGAATTCTCTTAAATGTCCCTTCATACACATTAATTTTCATCAGTCTGCCCAAACTTGCCAGAACCCATTATTGCTAGAACCAATAATCCTGAGATCCTAAACTAAAAAAACTCATCAAAAAAAAAAAAATACCCAGACTCTACAAATGTCCTAGAATTTGTCTTTAAACGGCAGAGAAAATTTTTAAAAACACATGGAGCAGTTGGGCTTGGCTCAGCCTGTAATCCCGTGCCTTTGGGAGGCTGAGGCGAGTGAATTGCCTGAGCCCGAGGGTTCGAGACCCACCTGGGCAACTTGGCGAGCCTTCAACTCTACAATAAACCAAAACAAATTTAGCCAGGCGTGGTAGCGCACGCCTGTAGTTCCAGCTACTTGGAAGGCTGAGGCGGAAGGATCGCCGGAGCCCAGCAGGTCGAGTCTGCGGTGGCCGGGAGCAGCCACTGGCATCTAGCCTGGGTGACAGAGTGAGACTCCAACTCAAAAAAAATAAAAAAATAAAAATAAAAACATGGAGCTTTCTAAAAGGTCTTTAATAAGCTACCTTAGGATCGCAATTGAAAAATAGAAGCTGGTGTAATAAAAACAGATGTTTCAGTGCAGCTCCAAAAATCTTTTATAAATACAGCCATTTTGGAAGAACAATCCTGGCTCAGAAGTGTTATTCCCTGTGTATATTTTGTGTGCATGTCTCATCTCAGTTGTCATAATTGTCTCTGTAATTTCCTCCTGAGTAGAAGTCATAACCACCCTGGTTTCTGCCACCATAGTCTCTGGACCGTCCATATCCATATCCATTTCCTCCAGATCGGCTGTCATATCTGCCACTCCCATAGCCTTGGTCCCCACCACCTGCATGGTCAACACGGATCTGGCGACTGTCCAAGGACTCTCCATTCATGGCTCTCATGGCATATGAGGCATGCTCTGGGTTGGTGAAGGTGATGAAGCCAAAACCCCGGGATCGCTGAGTCTCCCGGTCCTTGACAACAACCACCTCAGAAATAGGGCCAAAGCTGCTGAAGTGGTCTTTCAGTGCCTGCTCATCGGTGTTAAAGTGGAGCCCTCCCACAAAGAGCATTCCTTCTTCAGAAGACATGGCTGGAGTTCAAGTCCTGGGAGTTAAAAAGTAAAAGAGCTGGACAGACGGCGAGCTCTAAGGACCGGAGAGAACAGGGAGGCTCCTGAAATTACTTTTCAAACTAAAAATAACTTGCAAAGTACCAAGAAGTTGGCACAGTTAGACACTGATCAGGATATAAACGGGTGAGTGGTGAGGTTTCTGCTCAAAAATGAGACTATGTGAGGGCCTGGCACAGTGCCTCACACCTGTAATCCCAGCACTTTGGAAGGCTGAGGCAGAAGGATTCCTAGAGCCCAGGAGTTCAAGAGCAGGCTAGGCAACACAGTGAGACCTCATCTCTACAAAAAATAAATAAATAAAAATAAATTACATAGGAACATCATAAACTCCTGTACAATCAAAACTAAGGAGACATGAGCCCGCGGGTTCGAGACCCGCCTGGGCAACTTGGCGAGACCTCATCTCTACAAT